TGAAAATGACAGAGATTTAAGGGAAGAAGACCAGGTAGATGACACTGACTCAAACTCCTGGGCTCAAGCAATCCTCCTCCCTTGACCTCCCAAAGTGATGGGATTACAGGCATGGGACACTACACTCAACCAATGTTTGCTCATTTTGTATTGGAATTTGCTTCCTTTTTCTTTGCCCTTTGCATCTCTCTTTCCACTCCTATCTCATTCCCCATCCTCAGGCTCACAATGTGACCTTCACAGGTCCCTCTGAAAACCTTAACTGGGAAAGAACGATGGAAAGGGGCAATTCTAGCACGGAGGATAAATGACAAAGAGGAAGGAAGCAAATTCAAATACAAAATAAGCAAACGTTGGTTGAGTGTGGTGGCTCACACCTGTAATCCCAGTGCTTTGGGAGGTCAAGGTAGGAGGAATGCTTGAGCCCAGGAGTCTGAGATCAGCCTGGGCAACATAGCAAGGCCCCGTCTCTACAAAATAGTAAAAAATAAAGAAAGAGCAAAACTAGAATTCTATTTATTATGCATTTTTATAGCCTACAAACACTTCCAAACAGATGATAGAATTTAACCCTCTGAGCAATTTTGTGACCTAGGCAGGGCAAATAGCATTGACTCCACTTTATAAGTAAGTTGATGATGGGATATCTGATGACATAAGAACTAAATAGACAAGCTGGAAATGAAGTCCAGATCTGTGTCCTCCACAGAGCTCTTTCCATTGGCCATAGAGGTGTCAAGAATAAGGCTAACCGAGTAATAGTCACGAAATAGCTGATCTCTCTGCAACATCATCTGGTATTTCCATTCTGAACTGATTGCTGTCCAATATTTACTAGCTCCCATTAACCTCAAGCAACCAGCAAGCACATGTTTCAAAAAAGGCACAGACGCATTTTTATAATTCCATCAATCATTTCCAGGAACATGCTGGATTTCCTTGAGACCTGCTAATCTTGCATTCAGGTAACTCTAGGAGGACAGAGGAAAGTATCTTGGAATTAGCATAACCTTCTTTTTCCTTAACTTCAGGTGCCCAGGATTAGATCATGGGTCATGGAACACTCTCTTATCACTGGTCCATTCAAGACCCTCTTTTATTTTAATTATATGTAACTTAAACATCTGTGAACTCACTGGCCAATCCGTGAACTAGAATGTTATCAACAACAAAGATCTCCCCACTCCTTCCCAATCCAATCCTGGTTCTTCTTTCAAACAACAGTAATTTGGTGTCATTTGCCAATACTTTGCATGAAAAGTTGCTTTCATTATATTTTTATATTAAGTAGAAAATTGGGCTAAGCAACTAGAAGCCACGATCTACATCTGAGGGTCTGTGATTTAATCAGCCACACCCTTCATCTCATTTTTTTTTTCCTCTTCTTCTTTTTTTTTTTTTTTTTTTTTTTGAGAAGGAGTCTGGCTCTGTCACCCAGGCTGGAGTGCAGCGGGGTGATCTTGGCTCACTGCAACCTCCGCTGATCAGGTTCAAGCAATTCTCATGCCTCGGTCTCCTGAGTAGCTGGGATTACAGGCATGTGGCACCACACCTGGCTCAGTTTTGTATTTTTGGTAGAGACAAGGTTTCACCATGTTGGCCAGGCTGGTCTCACCTCCAGTGATCTGCCTGCCTTGGACTTTATCTTTTTCTTTAAGCTCACCTATCCAGGCTCTCCCCTCTGCAAGTTGCCTTGCTTTACCTCCATTTTGGAGGTGGCTTTGCTTACTGGGCTTTAGATAGTACCCTTATCCACACTCCTGTCGTGCCTCTGAAATATAAGTCTTTACGAGTGACTTCCACTTTTTTTTTTTTTTTTTTTTGAGCTGGAGTCTTGCTTTGTTGCCAGGCTGGAGTGTAATGGCACGATCTTGGCTCACTGAAACCTCCGCCTCCCAGGTTCAAGCGATTCTCCTGCCTCAGACTCCTGAGTAGCTGGGACTACAGGTGCACACCACCATGCCTGGCTAATTTTTGCATTATTATTATTTTTTTAAATGGAGCCTCACTCTGTCGCCCAGCCTAGAGTGCATGGCATGATCTAGGCTCACTGCAACCTCCGCCTCCCAGGTTCAAGTGATTCTCCCCTTCAGCCTCCCAAGTAGCTGGGATTACAGGCGCCTGCCAGTATGCCTGACTAATTTTTGTATTTTTCATAGAGACAGCATTTTACCATGTTAGCCAGGCTGGTTTCAAACTCCTTACCTCTGGTGATCCGCCCGCCTTGGCCTCCCAAAGTGCTGGGATTACAGGCTTGAGCCACTGCGCTCGGCCAATTTTTGTGTTTTTAGTAGAGAAGAGATTTCACCACGTTGGCCAGGAAGGTCTCGATCTCTTGACCTTGTGATCCGCCCGCCTCAGCCTCCCAAAGTGCTGGGATTACAGGCGTGAGCCACAGCGCCCAGCCGTGACTTCCACATTTTAAGAACCATCTTTTGTCTTTTCAGAAGATTCATTTGCATTGGTTTCATTTCAATGAGAAGGTTGCCTACTGGAGAGAATAGCCATCATGAATGCAGAAGGCCCTTTCTTTTCTAGGGTGACCTTCCAGATTTGCTAGGTTTGGGGTTCCCCATAGCACTTTTAGGCTTTTCAGGATGAGATTCTGACTCTGCAAAGGGACTGCTATTTGCTTGACTTAGAATGGCTTGAAAAGTTGTAAAGTTTGTGAGCCAGAAAGACCCCTAAACCTGGAGGTTTACCTAACAGAGACCTGGGAAAGGAAACAGTTCAGTCCAGAGGAGCTAAAAGTAAGTGGCTCTGGGCGCTGGAAGGGACGAAATGGTCCCATGGTTTCCTCTCTCAGCTGTGCTCTCCCCTGTGTGTGTGTGTGTGTGTGTGTGTTGTGTGTGTGTGTGTCTGTATGTGTGTGACTGAGAGGAAGGTGAAACATTTGCTTCCTAGCAGGGCTGAAAGAGTCCAGGTTGTAATCAGGAATGTGGAGGACAGATTCCAGAGGAGAAAGCCTCTTTCCAGAGGCCAGGGGCAGAAGGCCAGGGCAGTTCTTATGCAATTGAGGAATTAAAGACTTTTTGGGCGGAAGGAACCTGGAAAGCTCTCTTGAGTCTGACTTCCCATCTGAAGCTGGCATCTTATTGATTGGAGTGGCAGGAATTCTAGGACATATTCAGCTCTGAAGGGGCTGGTTCTGATCCTGGCAGAAGGAGAACCCCAAGCTCTGCAGGAATGATCCCTTTCGGAAGCAGCACAAGCAGGCCTCGGTTCCACCACCAGACGCTTGGCTGTGACGAGCCCTTTGTACCCTGTCAAACTCCCACTGTGGGAAATGCAGTCCTGAGCTCTGTCCAGAACCTGGAAGGAGGTGCTGCTGGGATGTGCCACCTCTAGGAGGGGGCTGGGGGCAGGTGGAAGGGAGGAGGTGAGGACTGGCTCTGCAATCTCAGGAGGGGTGTGCAGCTGTGGGCAACAGGTTCTTGGGGGAGAACGTAGGTGGGGAGCAGGGATTTGGGAATGGGAAGATTCCTGAAGATACAGCATCCAGGGCAAGGAAGGTTCTTACGAGAGTTAGGACAACAGAGAAATGGGAAGCGCTCAGAAGATGCGGGGTCAGGAGCAACTTTGCTGTGGTCAAGGGAGCACACAGCAGGAGAACACAGGTTTGGAGCAGGGTTTGGGGTAGGGACTGGGAAGGGGCCAGGGTGGGGGTGACAGGTGCTACTGAGTGTGGGAGGGACCAGGAGGGTGGGAAGAGATAGTGACAGTGAGATTGTCTCAGACCAAGCATGGCTGGTGGGGTGAGGAAGATGTGCATGGTGGCGGCTCACACATCTGTCAAGGCATATGACAGACAGAGCCAGCTGGGGACAGAGTAGGGAGGAAAGGCAGGTGGTGGGAGAAGGGGAGAGAAATGAATGAAGCCAGAAGTCAGGGACTCCTCCGTCCTCAGTCACCTCGGATCTAGATGTAATTAGCTCAGGAGCCCAGATGGTCGTAGGACTCACAGATACCAGGGGTCGTTTCACACTTTCTGTTCATTCCAACATCTTAAGCTTCCGTGGCCCCTGTGTGTGTTCATCCTCTTATTGCTAACTCAGGTTACTTTGGGGGATGCAAAGCTCAGCCTCATGACTGTCTTTCTCTCCCCCTCTCTCACACCCACACACACGTGCACGTGCACATGCACTCAAGTTCAGTCAAAGCCTCTTGTAAGTTTGTCAGCACTCGCTCAAGATATTGGGGCCTCTGCTGAGCATCACATCCCATAATGCCTGAACTTCTGCCTACCTACAGCCTTTCTTTTCCCTTCTCTTTCCTTCCGTATCAACTTCTCGCACTTTGCCTCCCAGATTCTAAGCCCCACTTTCACCCCAGGACCCAAAGCACCTCACTCGGTTACAGAGAGCAGCTTCCCTCTTTCCTCTGAATGCGTGGTGACCTCTGACACCCAAGACCTGGGGACTATTATCGGGGAGGCTGATCTTGTGTCCCAAATTCATGTAAAGAAGCTTATCAGGGCTTCCTTTGGACACAACCCCTCTTCCCAGGGTCATGTCGATTCTTCCCAGAGAGTGGTTAAAATCAGAGCAGGAGAGTTATTTTCCCTCCCACAAGAACACTCTGAGAGTGGAGGAAACCACACGTTGTGCTTTTAAAGAATAAGCCTGAGTTGCAGAAGACCCCAGAATACATGGGTTTCACTCCGAAGGGAAGTGATCTTGTATATGACCAAATCTCATGCCTGGCAGAGGCTGCAGGGCCTGGGACAAGGCGGGACAGCTCCTCTCTGCTCCTACCTCCAGCTTTGGTTTCCAAGTGCTAGGGCCCCTGCGCTGTGACTTGGTGTCTCTGCTGTCACAGGGGACAGGTTTCTTCTCTCACAGGGATTCTTTGGCTTAGGTCCTAAGCTCAGGTATTCCTCCAGGTCCCCATCCCAGGAAACACCCAGGTCTCCCTGGCAACCTTCCCCTCAAGCTTCAGATAGACGGCTGCTGATAGGGCCATCTGGATGGAGACCTGGGACTCGGGCTTGTGTTTTCCAGGCTGTTTGTCTCTGTCGGGCCCCGACTCTGTGACTGGCACCGTGGGGGGCTCTCTGAGAGTGTGGTGTCAGTATGAGAGCACGTACAAGGGATATAACAAATACTGGTGCCGAGGACAGTATGACACATCATGTGAGAGCATTGTGGAGACCAAGGGAGAAGAGAAGGTGGAGAGGAATGGCCACGTGTCCATCAGAGACCATCCGGAGGCTCTTGCCTTCACTGTGACCATGCAGAACCTCAATGAAGATGATGCTGGATCTTACTGGTGCAAAATTCAGACAGTGTGGATCCTGGATTCATGGTCACGCGATCCCTCGGCCCTGGTTAGGGTGTATGTTTCCCCAGGTAAGAGCTCCCCTCACTTCGGCAGCAGGGCTTTAGGGTGTGACAGGACAAGGGAACAAGGGTGGGTGGCATACTGAAGTGTGCCTCCAAGCCTTGTCTTGTCCTCAGTCACAGTGGTGTTGGGAGGAGCCCATAGCATGGGCATGGAGAGAGGCGGCTGATCCTTCAGCCTTAGGTGGACTGGGGGGTGCACAGCTCAGGTGCCGTCACTCCCATGGGGCCCGGGCCTCACCCCATTACCCAGCATGGAGGAAGCCCCTCCATGCTGAGCCAAAGCTGTTTCCACCGTGCCCTTTGGGAAGCCTGTACCAAAGAAGAAACACTCCTGTACATTTGCAGCCTCCTCACAGAACATCCTCCTACCATGCTGTTTTGAAATATGTCTTGCTTGGGAAGACCTTCCTGTTTAGTAGCTTCTTGAGTGGAAGCTACTCTTTCTCTTACTCCCCATATGCTAGAGGGCTGTGGAGCCATGCCTCAATTCTTCCTGCCCCCGTCACAACTTCTGCCCTGTGACTTTCCACCTGCTTCCTTTAAATGTTGTGCCAGATGGCCACACACACCTTCTATCTGTGCTCGACAAGGCTGTCCATCAGCTTCCAGGCTGCTCCCCCTCATTCAGCGGGGACCTGCCAGTGCCTCCACTTCAACCTCTGCCATTATCTTGGCAGGTTGGGCTTGTGTTTTCCAGGCTGTTTGTCTCTGTCGGGCCCCGACTCTGTGACTGGCACCGTGGGGGGCTCTCTGAGAGTGTGGTGTCAGTATGAGAGCACGTACAAGGGATATAACAAATACTGGTGCCGAGGACAGTATGACACATCATGTGAGAGCATTGTGGAGACCAAGGGAGAAGAGAAGGTGGAGAGGAATGGCCACGTGTCCATCAGAGACCATCCGGAGGCTCTTGCCTTCACTGTGACCATGCAGAACCTCAATGAAGATGATGCTGGATCTTACTGGTGCAAAATTCAGACAGTGTGGATCCTGGATTCATGGTCACGCGATCCCTCGGCCCTGGTTAGGGTGTATGTTTCCCCAGGTAAGAGCTCCCCTCACTTCGGCAGCAGGGCTTTAGGGTGTGACAGGACAAGGGAACAAGGGTGGGTGGCATACTGAAGTGTGCCTCCAAGCCTTGTCTTGTCCTCAGTCACAGTGGTGTTGGGAGGAGCCCATAGCATGGGCATGGAGAGAGGCGGCTGATCCTTCAGCCTTAGGTGGACTGGGGGGTGCACAGCTCAGGTGCCGTCACTCCCATGGGGCCCGGGCCTCACCCCATTACCCAGCATGGAGGAAGCCCCTCCATGCTGAGCCAAAGCTGTTTCCACCGTGCCCTTTGGGAAGCCTGTACCAAAGAAGAAACACTCCTGTACATTTGCAGCCTCCTCACAGAACATCCTCCTACCATGCTGTTTTGAAATATGTCTTGCTTGGGAAGACCTTCCTGTTTAGTAGCTTCTTGAGTGGAAGCTACTCTTTCTCTTACTCCCCATATGCTAGAGGGCCGTGGAGCCATGCCTCAATTCTTCCTGCCCCCGTCACAACTTCTGCCCTGTGACTTTCCACCTGCTTCCTTTAAATGTTGTGCCAGATGGCCACACACACCTTCTATCTGTGCTCGACAAGGCTGTCCATCAGCTTCCAGGCTGCTCCCCCTCATTCAGCGGGGACCTGCCAGTGCCTCCACTTCAACCTCTGCCATTATCTTGGCAGGTTTTAATGAATAACTTGGCAATCTTGCCTTGGGTTCCTTAACATTCTCAACCTTAGTGTCCTTTATTTTCCACTCTCTTCAGAATCGCACCCCAAGGAAACATCTCAGAGCTTGTCATCACCCAACCTGGTTGCTGCTCAGAGTCTTACACTCATACATTCTATTTTTTGACAACTTTTCATCGATCAGCTCTCCCCCATCCTCATGCCACTGTCCCTATTCTCAACCTTGTAGTGACCTTCTGTCTTCTGATCCTTCCCTCCATTTTCCCCAATTTATTGTCCCCGTCACTCCTGTTCTGACCTCACTTCCTTCCTAGGCCACTTTGAGCCCCTGAAATATATCACATTCTCTTTTTTTCTCTCCTTTTTGAGACATGGCCTCACTCTGTTGCCCAGGCTGGAATGCCATGGAGTGATCTCGGCTCACTGCAACCTCTGCCTCCTGGGCTCAAGTGATCCTCCCAGCCTGAGTAGCTGGGACTACAGGTGTGCACTACCATGCCTGGCTAATTTTGTGATTTTTAGTAGAGACAGGGTCTTGCCACGTTGCCTAGACATGTCTCAGACTCCTGGCCTCAAGCCATCCACCTGCCTCGGCCTCCCAAAGTGCTGGGACTATAGGCGTGAGATCATGACCAGCCTGACATTTTCTTCTCTTAGTAGCACCCATAACTCCTATATTGTATTTCCTTATCTACCTGACAAAACCCTCATCCCTAGATCAATCCTAAAATTAAGGCCACTAACCATCCCAGTTTGCCCACGACGAAGGGGTTTCCTGAATGTAGGATTTTCAGTGCTAAGGCTAGAAAAGTCCTGGGAAAGTTGGCCACCCTGTCTAAAATCCACCTGCTCTAGCGCTGCTGGGGGAAACAAAGTAAGAAAATGGTGCCTGTGGCTGCCAGTAGAAGTTCAGAGTTTCCAGCGTTACCTCCTGTACATCTACCTTCCTGAGAACACACAGGACATCAGTTTCTTTCCTTCCCCACTTGCAAACTTCCATGCAATCTACATTCATTCTTCCCCCTTCCCTTTCAGGTTGAGGACAGGCTTCCCCATCCTGTCCAAGGGTGATCCTCCTGGGGCTGGCTCCTTGTCCTGTGGTTCTCTGCCTCCCCATCCCTCTTCAACCAAATTCCCCTGCCCCCTGCCCCTTAGCCATCCACACCATCTCCTGTCCTCAGACTGAGACTCTATCACCACGCTCACGTCTCTCACTTTCCAAAAGCAACCCATGGTCCGGCATTTGCCTCTGCTAGGTGCTGCCCATGGTTCCCTCCTTCCTGCTGGCCTGGGAGTGGATCAAGCTCCTCCCCTGTGCTCCTGTTGCACCTGCTGGGGCTCCTTCCCAGGGCTGCTTCCAGCTGAAGTGAGTCCATCTGTTTATGTGTCTCTGCCCCTCCAATGGGGTGGGGCTCAGGTCACATCCATCAGCGAATCTCCAGCAACAGAGCGGTCGAAGGCTGCTTATCGGATCACACTAAGCCTATGTCGGGCCCTTGGTGAAGGGCTGAGCCTCCAGGACAACTGCTTTAGGGAGATCATGAGCTGGGGGTCCAGTGGCAATGAGGGAGTAGACTATGTCAATAGTCTGGTGGTCACCTGAAGTCCCCAGGAGGAGCCGAGTGACAACCTATCCCCTCTCTAGGGGCGGCCTACAGTGGCCTTTCCACATGGGCCGGGCACGGTGGCTCACGCTTGTAATCCCAGCAATTTGGAAGGCCAAGGCAGGCAGATCACCTGAGGTCAGGAGTTGGAGACCAGCCTGATCAACATGGAGAAACCGCGTCTCTACTAAAAACACAAAATTAGCCAAGTGTGGTGGCATATGCCTGTAATCCCAGCTACTTGGGAGGCTGAGGCAGGAGAATCTCTTGAACCCGGGAGGCAGAGGTTGCAGTGAGCTGAGATCGCGCCATTACACTCCAGCCTGGGCAACAAGAGTGAAACTCTGTCACAAAAAAAAAAAAAAAAGAGCGTCCACCTGAAGGGTGCTCGGGGCCCCCCTCTCATGGTCTCTACAAGGCTTCTTGGGCCACAGGCTGAACCATCTTCCTTTAGACTCCTCCTACCCCTCCTCCTCCTGGAACTCCACATCAGGCTGCAGAAGCTCAGAGAGACCCCTGCCCTCATCCCAGGCAGAGCGGGATGAAGGCAGAGTGGGCAGAGTGGTAAGAGTCTTTCTCTGAGATGCGGAGAAAGACCTGGCACTTATTGGAGGGAACTCTCATGGCTGGTTCTGGTAAGGGCTCCTTTTGTCCCTGGGGGGTTTCACCCAGGAGGTGCCCTGGATCTGGCTTCAGAGGTCTCTCCAGCCTCTTCTGTGAGTAGGTGATTCTGTGTGACTTCCTTACTGGTGCTTCTTGCATGGCTGGGAGCCCAGGCACGGCCCGATGCATCATTTTCATCTCTAACAGCAACCAAAACCCCAAGAAGGACCACACGTCCAGCCACAACTCCCATCTTCCTGGTGGTGAACCCTGGGCGAAACCTCAGCACCAGGGAGGTGTTGACCAAAAATTCAGGGTAAGCGCCTAGGGCCTGGAGGCCATGGAGGGAGCAGCTCTGGGGTGGAAGCCGGTGGTGGTGGCGCACCATGACCTGAGATCATCACTGGCTGCTGTTTCTCTCCATCTCTGGTCCTGATTCTCATACTCTCTGAGTCTGCGTGTGGATGCTGAGTGAGAAATGTCACTTGTGCTGTGAACACCTTTCCCTACGGGGCAACTAGTGGGACTCAGGTCGAAGGTTGAGTTCAGGTGCATGTGCAGCCCTCGTCCCCTCCCCATCCCTTTCTGTCTCCTTCCCCATCCAGCTCTGGACCTGGGGTCCCGGTTCTGTGGCCCCTTTCAAAGGTCTTTGCTCAGCTGGGGATTTTGCCACCAGGAGCTGTCTGTTGGGTCTGTGGGGAGATGGGCCTGCTTCAGGCTGTGGTTTGAGTCTGTTCTCCTTCCTCTCCCAAAGATACCCAGAAAGGGCTGTGATATTGCGGCCAGACCCTGAGGGGAGGGAACAAGGAGCTGGAGTGAAACAGTGAGAGTGGCGGCCAGGTGCGGTGGTTCACGCCTGCAATCCCAACACTTTGGGAGGCCGAGGAGGGTGGATCACTTGAGTCCAGGAGATTGAGACCAGCCTGGGCAACATGATGAAACCCCGTCTCTACTAAAAAACACAAAATTAGCCAGGCGTGGTGGCGTGCCTGTAGTCCCAGCTACTCAGGAGGCTGAGGTGGGAGAATCACTGGAGCCCAGGAAGTCAAGGCTGCAGTGAGCCATGATTGCGCCACTGCACTCCAGCCTGGGTGACAGAGTGAGACCCTGTCTCAGAAAATAAAAAAAGTGAGAGTTGGGACTGGTTTTAAGAAGTCAGTTGATAAAGCAGAGGCTGCGAGTGGGACAGGGACAGAGAGGGTGCTGTGGCGTGTGTGTCTGGAAGTGGGTCCTTCTTCTCTCTTCACTCCATCACCTCTCCTTGATGAGACCCCCCGGGCAGTCCTTGATGGAGGGACAAGGAGGGATGGGGGCCACAGAAGGGGCTGCCCTGGTGTAGGTCCTTTCCCCAGCTGCTCCTGGGTTATTTGGCCTCCAGAGTCAGAGCCCAGGAAGAGGTGAAGAGAGAAGGGTCCTGGGGGTTCTGCCGGGGAAGTGACTCATTTTCACCATGTCCCCCGCAGGTTCCAGCTCAGCAGCCTTCACTTCCTGCTCGTGGTCCTTCTGAAGCTGCCCCTGCTCCTGAGCATGCTAGGTGCTATCTTCTGGGTGAACAGGCCTCAGCGGGCTCCTGCTGGGAAATAGAGCCAGGCTGACCTGAAGCCCTGCAGAGCTCTGTCCCCAGGAGTGCCCTCCCTGTGCAGGGAGTCAACCTTTCAGACTGGATGCAAGAGACCTGTGGACTCTGGAGGGATTTATTGTTCCTGTGCCTCAAACGAGGGTCCTGGCTCTTAGAGGACACTCCTTTGGAGGCCTCAGTGTGGAGCTTGGGGGTCCTCCTTTCTCCTCCTCAGTTCCCTGCCTCCCTGCCCTCATGCCCACTTCCCAAGGGCAAGAATTCCCTGGAAGTTGGCCGGGCACCATAATGAGTGCCTGTAATCCCAGCTCAGGAGGCTAAGGCAGGGGGATTGCTTGAACCCAAGAGTTCCAGGCCAGCCTGGGCAACATAGAGAGACCCTGTCTCAAAGAGAGAGAGAGAGAGAGAGAGAGAGTAAAGGAGGGAGGAAGGAAGGGAAAAAATTTTCTGGAGGAGTCTGGCCCTTCATTCTTCTCCTTGGCATAAATGCTTCCCAGGCCAGTTTCCCCCAGGGCAATAACTACCTCCTTTCTGCAGATAGGAGGCTCCCTGAGGACACGTCCTCACAGTCCCAGCCTTTGGGCTCACAGGGCTCCATTCTTTCTCTGGGACAACCCCCAGGGAGCTTGGTCCCGGCAGAGCTTGCTCATGCAGTTACCCAGTGTCCTACATGCTCAGGGCTCCTCTCTTCTTCTGTCACCCCTTGGGTCTCCCTGGCTTTAAGGCTCCTTCTCTCCCTGTAACCAGGCAGTGTGTGGCTGGGCTCAGAACATCTCTGCCTGGGTGAGCCGTGGATCAGCAGCTCCAGGTTAAAGTTCTGGGACAAGTTGAAACAGTAATGGGAGAAAGAACTGGTGGGTGCCCCTGATATTACTCCTGGAATTCCCCTACCTGGGGGTGTCCTGTGCACAGGGTCAACAGAGTCAGCTCTGTCCACTTTAGAAGTCTGGCTGAGACCACCTGTTAGCAATTAACCTTTTCCACAGGCGGAGCAGACATCGTTTTTCAAAGACAGGATGGAGGATGCAGAGGTGAAGGATACTTGTCCACACTTGAAGTGCACAGTGTCATCATCACTCCTGGGGACCCCTGGTTCAGAAACGAGCTCAGTTGGTTTTTTGAATGTTTGTCAATTACTCCATCTTCCTAAAGTTTGTGGGGAGGACTCCCACAATCTGCCACAAGCAAGCATCACCATCTCCACTTGCTACCTGCATCTGGACCAGTGCTCTCCCTCTGCCCCCAGGCCCGACCTCATCCTCAGCTAGTGATGCCAGTGTCCAGAGCACATGGAGCGCCCCTATGACTGCCGAGTGCTCAGGCAGAGCTGCCGTGCTCTGAACTTGATCTCTGGGGGGCTCCCAGCTCCAACATGCATGGTGACTCAGAGAAAGGTGGGGCTGGCCCAGGACTCGTACTGAAAGAGAAATTCAGTCTAACAAGGCCCATATTAATTATATTAACCCAGGAAACATCATGATGAGCAAGAAAGGAGCTTATGATTCATTTTATGAGAAGGATAAGCTCCCAAGTCATTACAGCATAGGAAGAACTCTAGAGCCACAGAAGATGCTTCCTGATGTCAGGAGGTTGGTGAGGAGAATATCATGTTAAATTGGCCAGGTCAGAGAAAGAAGGTGATATTCGTGTGTGATGTTGAAGGAGGTATAGGGTTCCAGTGGGGCAGGGATGGAGCAACAGAGAGAGAGAGAGGACACAGAAACAGCGTAAGTGAAAGCAGAGAGGCAGGAAATAATCTTTGTAACAAGAGTCACTCATAGAAGACCTATCAGCAAATGGACTGTACTGTTCACATACAGATGCTCATGGGAGGATGTGTCTAAGATTCCAATGGAGTGAAGTTTTTCTGTGGCAGGCCAGATGGAACTAACCTGGAAGAACTCAAGTGGTGGCAGGTTCAGGAGGCTTAGGACTCAACTCTTACTTAAACTTTGATTAGCTACGGTGGGATGGATTTGAGCAGAACAAGATGGGATTGCAGATGTGTTTTAGGAGGACTTACCTAGCAGATGTAGCAAAATCTGAAAGGAAGAATCTGGGAGTCCGGAGTCTCAAGCCTGGAAAACCAGAGGAATGGGGCATCATTGACAGAAGTAGGAAAGTCAAGAGCAGGTTTGGTTGATGCAGAGCTTAGTTTTCTGTGTGTTTGGAATTATCTGGTAGAGAGGTCTAGCAGATAGCTAGAGATCTGGGTTAGCAGAGTGTGGAGCGCTGGAGAGGAATGTGTGTAGAAAGATTAATTTGAGGCCAGGAAAAAGTGAAAGCATGGAGGGAAGAGGTCAGAACCAAGGACAGAGCCCTCGGGGCACCTACATTTAAAGACAAAGGGTAGGAGGAAGAGACATTGAACAAGGAGCTGGAGCAGAAACAAACAGGTGGAAGATGAGAAGTCAAGAGCCATGAATGTTTCAAGGAGGAAAGCAGAGCTGGAGAGGTGGAGGAGGACCGCGATTGAGAGGCGGCTGTTGAACTTATCATTCACAAGGTCACTAACGAAGTTCAGAAGAGCATATCAACAGAGCAATGTGAGCAGAAGTCAGAAGGGAAGAGTTAAGAAAGAGTAGACAGATGGCAGACAGCAGGTGCAGGAGAAAGAAACAGTGGCTTCTGCATGCTTTGAATTTTCCATTCTCCCTTACTCCCTTTTTTTCCTCTATTCTTCCATTCTTTTTTCCCTTTATTTACTCATTCGTTCAATAAACTTTTATTGTGTGTCTATGGTGCATTGTTCTGGGCGTTACAGATAAGGACTTAAACTATGCAGAGTGCCTACTCCGTTAGAAGGGAAGATTAAGATGTAGACTAACAATAGCAATAGTTAGTTAATAACTAACTATTATAGTTAGTGTGTTAGAATCTGTGTCAGGGGTCTGCACAGTGCTCTGCGCAGACACAGAAGTGAGGCGGAGAAGGAAAATTGAGGGCTTGATTTATAAAAATAAGGCAGAAGACTGGGGGATGATTGTCCCGGACAATGGTAGGGGAGAGTCATAGAGCATGCTGGAAACCAGGACCTTCAGGAGCCACGTTACCATTACCATGTGTGCAGAGTGCACGCGAGGGAGAAGTGAGATATGGGGCTGGAGCCTCGTTATGAAAGGGCTTCCTGGCAGACCAAGGAGTTTGAATTGAGTTCTGGAGACCACAGGGAGCCCCTGGAGGTTTTAATTTTTGAAATTTTTATTTTGAAAAAATTATAGGCTTAACATTGCAAATATAACATAGAGACCTGTGAATCCTTCATCCATTGTCCTTCAATGGTGACATATTATATAACTGTAGGACAATACCCAAACCAGGAAACTAGCATTGTTACAATACTGTTAACTGGACTGCAGACTTTATTCAGTTTTCACCATTTTTAACATACATTGGTTTATGGATGTGTTTGTGTAGAGCTCCACGCAATTTTATAGATCCAGGTAACTTCCACCCCAGTCAAAATATAGAAACCATACATCATCACAAGGATCTCCCTCATGCTGTCCCATGTATTTGCACACCTATCCCATTCCTGTCCCCTGGAAACCACTAATCTGTTCTCCATGTCTACAGTGCTGTCCTTTTGAGGACAAATGAAATTATGTAGTATGTAATATTTTGAGATTGACTTTTTTATTCACTGAGCCTTGAGATTCATACAAGTTGTTGCACTTACCACAATCAATAGTCGATTCCTTCCTATTGCTCAGCTGGATTCCACTGCGTGAGTGTACAATAATTTGTTTAATCATTCACCCACTGAACCCAAGCAAGACATATCTGTGCAAGTAATGGCTGCTGGACTGTGACCTTTGAGTAAAGGATACGTGTTTCAGAGCCTCATTTTTATGCTTGGGACCATATGGTGCCCCCAGCAGGCTTGGGAAGTGACCTTCTAAAGCGCACAGATGGGCCTGCAGGGATGCTGTGTGGGCCAGCTCCAGGCTGCCATTCAGAGGCAGAACCAACTCTGCTCTCTGGCCTTGTGACTGGGGACCAGGTGGCTTCACCCCTTCAGGTCCTGCTATTCTTATATGTGACATGAAGGCACTAAATTATGATTCTTCCACGAGGCAGTTTAAAAACATGGTTGCAAATTTCTTGACACTACTTCCATTAAGAGTTGGGGCTTATGTCCCTTCCCCTTGGGTCTGAGTGAGTTGTGACTGTTTCAACCAGTGGACTAGAACAGTGTTTCTCAACATTTTTTTCATTGTTATCCTAGGATAACAATGAATATTCCTTAAAAAAAAATCCCTAAAAAGGAATATCCCTAAATATCTCCCCTCATGAAATGTTAATACCAAAGACGTATTGTACATCTATCTATCCATCCATCCATCCATTCATCCATCTATCCATCCATCCATCCATCTATATCTGCGTTTTATATCTGAAAAGAGTAAAAATATTTTTTCACCCTGCAAGAACCAATATTTGCCCCTATGGGGAATGCATGCAAGAGGGCCTCTGTATGGCTTCCAAGGCTAAGTCAGAAGAAACCCTGCAGCTCCCTCCTCAGTCTCTTGAAACGCTTGCCCTCTGGATGGTCTGTGGATATTCCCTCTTAGAACCCAGCTGTCACAGAAAGGCCACATGTAGGGCCTCTAGGCAACAGTCCCAGCAGAGCTGTCTTGGATCACCCCAGCCCATGCTCCAGACTCGTGGGTGAAGAAGCCTCCAGAGGACAATAGCAACCAGCCTGTGTGGCCAGGGTTCACACATTGCTACAACTCAGGCTGTTCTCCCATGCTTAGCAGCACATAGGCTGCTAGAACCTGAGGTCTTGCCCTTTCTCAACACATGAACCATATGGACACAGGCAGTCAAGATGTGGCAAGTGGTGAGTGTTCCCGAAAACAAACTTTCCACTGTGTCAATAGCCCTCCATGCTCTGCCCTCCATGCTCTGCCTTCCATGGCTCTGCCCTCCATGCTCTGCCCTCCATGGCTCTGCCCTCCATGCTCTGCCTTCCATGGCTCTGCCCTCCACGCTCTGCCCTCCATGGCTCTGCCCTCCATGGCTCCTGACACTACTCTTGGCAAATCTTCAACCTCATTCAAAGAAAAGTTATAAAGTGAACCAGCAGCTGTTCATAGCTGATGAGGTCAAGGAGAAGAAATGAACACTAGCAAATGGCAGTTGAAGAATCCATCTCAGGAGAGGAAGTACTCAAGGCAATAGAGGAAGAGTTCAGATGGAAAATTCCCCTCCTTAGAGAAATTACAGACAACAAGATCTCTCCAAAAAAAGGAGCTAAGAAAAGAAATATAGTAATTTAAAAAAAAGTATTTAAAGTAAAATATGGACGAAAAAATGAGCAGACAGAGCTCAGGAAGAATGTAAGCAGAAGAGAATAA